TGGCAATTTTGCGACCACAGGCACCAGCTATGGTGCTTCTCCGGAAAGCATAAACGCTCACGCGCAGAGGAAGACCTACCAAACAGAGGGTCTAGAAAAATTGGCGCACGTTGCGAGACCGGGGGATGTAGCTTTGTCAGCCGACATAAAGGACGGCTTTTATGCGTTAGCTGTTGCCAACCCCAGGGTCTGGAAATTTCACGACCACAAGCTCCAGCTATGGTGCTTCCTAGCATTACCGATGGGGGCAACATTCTCCCCAGCATGGTTCAACCAGCTGATAGACGTAGTGAGGATTCTAAATATACAGAAGGCTAAATATAAAATTTGTTGTACAAGAGCTCGCGGGATACGAATATTACTGTATGTCGACGATCTTCTGATGATGGAACGGCCAAAGACTTGTCGGAAGCATGCCAGAATTATAACAGCAATATTCATGGAGTTTCAACTCCAATTCGCACCAGGAAAAGGTTATTGGATAACACCTGTAAGTAGACTCCAACACCTAGGCGTTATCATAGACTTGAGAGCAAACACCATCGAGATGAGACCAGAGTTCAAGGCGAAGGACCTGAGACTAGCAGGGGCAATCCGGAGCTCGGGTCTACAGAACCAGCGGCGCATACAAACCCGAATTTGGCAATCGTTCTTAAGTTGCCTCCAATAGGCGGGTTTCTCCGTACTCAGCGTGAGGCCATTTATCGCAGATCTGCAACAGTCAACTATCTAGAGTCCCACCTTTTGGATATAACTCTCGGATGCGACCTTCAAGACGATAGAGCGCATTTTGCTCTTAGTGGAGATCTTCTGCTACCGACAAATATGGCTCCAAGACCACCAAGCAACTATCACCTCTGACTCCTCGAAGGTGGGCTTCGGTGCCACGCTCCGATGGAAACAGACCACGCACACATTTTCCGGCACTTGGATCCCAACGGTGAGTCGCTGGCCAATTCCAGTCTTGGAACTAAAGGCACTCGTTCTTACCTTCGAGTTCTTCTTCAACAACACAAAGATCGAAACCACCCCACTTCTCTGGCTCACAGACAGCAGCACTGCGCTACATGCTCTGCGCAAAAGAAGGAGCCAGTCAAAGCTAATGAACGCCCAACTTCGACGGCTAGTATGGTTCTGTCACCGTAACATAGCTCCCTGGCCAGTAGCTCTCGGGTACATGCCGGGGAAGATCAACTTAGCAGCCGATATGTTTTAACGCAGCGGCAAGCTTCTCCAGTATCATTGGACTGTGACTCCAGAAGCAATCTTATCGATATTCCAAAAGTGGCATATTCGACCGAATACAGCGGAACGAACTTATCCAAACAGCTACTACCTCCAAAAAGCCCACCACGGTTATGTATCGTTTGCGAACAGGTTCCACGACAAGTAGGACCAGTCCTTGGAGCTTCTCGCTCCACCAGAGACAATGCTGGGCCAGATACTCGAGCAACTCGACCGACGACTACGCCGAGCAGTCCTCATAATTCAAATTTGGCAGAAGGCTATTTGGTGGCCTCACATCAGTTGACATAGCAAAGAACTGACTATTCTAGAGCCGGGCGCGGTGCACTACCCAGTATCGGTAGCCAACGAACTTAACAGGTTAGTTCCCCCTACGCGTCTATACGGAGCAGTATTGTACGAGCCAGGCGGCAGCGTGCCAATGCCGCGATAGATCGCGCTCGAGTGTGAACACAATTACGGAAAGGAGGGTTAGCGCCGGGCGGGCACTCAGAAGAACTACCGGATAGCGTTCCAGTTCTTGACCAATTACGTTACTAGGCATAATCTTACCACCACCATTCCGACTCGAGATAAGATCTTACACTTCTTAGAGTTTTGTTTTTCAGATCCGAGCAGCAGTCAACAGTTATGCACGAAGCCATGGTCTGATCCCTCCGGACGACACGACATGGCAACGAGCAGTACAGGGGTATATCTCACTGTGGAACCAAGGAAACCCCCCTACCACACCCGACAAGCCTCGCATTTCTGCCACATGGCTTGCTCAGGTCTTGAATGCAACAGGACTTCCGGCGAACTGGCGCGCTCTCAAGTGTTTTGGCTCTCCGGGGCCAGAATAAATACAAACTGGATGTTCGCATGCGATTTCTTTACGTTTGTTTCAGCATCGCACACACTCCTTATCGATCTCAAGAAGAAGAAACGAGGAGAACGCTCCCAGCTGGCCAAGATCATCACCCGACCCCTCGATCGAGTTACATATGCCTTTCTAGAACGCCATCTACCCGATGAATTCCGTTCATCTGACAGCCTACAGGCGCCTGCGACCGCTCTAAATAACCTCACTAAAGAAGTAGGTATAATTACCATACGTCAGCACTTCATAAGAGCTGGACTTGTTGTCGACACAGCCGATAAACATATCCAGGGGCACGCGTTTCGTCGCGGCTTCTCACAGAGTGCATTCAGTTTGAGGGTGCCGGACGATATCATCGCCGGCATCATGAGCATCGATAAAAAAATCACTGGAGAGCTATCGCTCGGTTACTACCGCTTCCGACACTGACCGCAGATTCAACAGTTGTTTGTTATGAGAGCCTCCTACGCAATCCGGTGTGGAATTTTCAAGTAGTTGTAGAAACTAACACTATTCTGGGATGTTTACATATTAATAGTATTATGAAACAGAGAGTAGCACCAATAAAGTCTTCCACTAATTGTGCGTTACTGTTAAATTTTTTAACTATTTAACAGTATCCCACATATTTGTGGTAAGGTATTACGGTCCTACTCTACGTTCTTTTCATACTCTTACTTACAATATGAGTATAAAAGGACGATGAAGTGGAGACACTTCCTCATTCATATTTCCTTCTACTTACCCACCCGCTCCACCCCTTTCATCCATATTACCTTAGATATCACCGAATAGCGATAGGATGTAGTTTGAGAATATACACCAACTAAGCACCCAAGTACACATATCACTTATGCACAAATAGTTCATGTATATCTATATGTAATTTATGTAAGTCTCTATATATAATCAAGTCTATGCCTTTCCTGTAACACATGAGTATACAAGAGAATAGTTAAAATCGTTAAAAATCTTGCACAGACGTAGCTAATTCAAGACTATATCACTCAATCCAGACATCCTGGATCCGACTCCGATAAGTAAGACTAGGTGAACTACACGCAGGAATGTAAATATCTATGAGAG